CCACATGTGCAGAACCGAGCTTGTTAAACACTCTACTTCATCAGCTCAACAAAAGAACTTTTCAATTTGCATCGACGACCAACAACCATGAACCTCTTCGTTGCCATCGCTGCTGTCGTTGCCAGCGTTTGCGCGCAAGACTTCAACTTCACCGACGTCTCGGAGAGCCAAGAACAGGGCGACGGCCATCGTGTCGTTGGAGGAAAGGAGGCCCCCGTTGGGCAATACACATGGACCGTCAACCTCCGCAGCAGGTCTGCCGGGGAGTACTCGGAGTGCGGGGGGACTCTGATCGCCCCCGACTACGTGTTGACTGCAGCCCATTGCGTCGAGAACGGCAAGCCTAGCTTTGTCGCCGTTGGCACCCACTACAAGGGCGGCACGTCGGACGGCGAGCAGATTTCGGTGGTGTCCTCCACGTCGCATCCCAGCTACCGGGGCATCCTCACTGGCTTCGACGTGGCCGTCCTCAAGCTGAGCCGGGCGTCCAAGTTTGCCCCCCTCCCGCTCGCCAAGGACGCAGTTGCTGCGCAGACGAGCGTCAAGCTGTTGGGGTGGGGTCAAACCAGCGGTCCTTCCGGCAACCCGTCGTCGGTGCTCAAGGAAAACACCTTCGTCGTCAAGTCCAACGCCGAGTGTCAAGCCAAGCTCCGCACGAGCAACAACTTTCGTGGCTGGACGGCCACGGCCACCCATTTGTGTGCGGGGGGCGACGCGGGCCAAGCGGCTTGCTTTGGTGACTCGGGAGGACCGTTGATCAAGTCCACGTCGGCGGGTTTTGCGTTGGTGGGGGATGTCAGTTTTGGTGTGCCCTGCGGCAAGGGATTCCCCGACGTGTATGGTCGTGTGGCGGCCTTCCGGGCGTTCATTGACCAAGCGTCCAGAAATCACACGTGGGTGTAAATGTTCTGCGTGTTTCGATGGAGTGTAGTGTTGTGATCGTCCAGAGTCAGAATGTATGCACATAATGCATGAGACCCATATCGTGTGCAATATAATTCAGTAGTTTACACATTCTTGGTGTCTAGTGTATTTATTTGATAGTTGCCATTTCGACTCACTTGGCCTCAAAACTAGTGACTGTGTGTTTAGTTAACATGTAAAGATGAACCAATTACAATTCGTCGAATCACAATTCGAAGTCACAGGGTCACAATTTAGTCACCAAGTCATTGATTTGAAACTCATGTAACGTAAATGACCAATTTATGATCACTTTTTCGGAGTAGTCACCGTAAAATTCGCACATCTCGGCTCACAGGAAGGCTTTTCACATTTTGTGAAGTGATTCTTAACAACCGAACACAGAGCTTTCATTTCATCATCGAAGTATTACATTTCAAGAAGTCCTTCTAATACAAAAATCCCACTTTCCAAGCAAGTTTACTCGATTTTCGAGGACCAATTTATGATCACTTTTTAACCTTGAACTGTCTATGCCTCCATGCATACAAATTGTGCGGAAAGGGTATTCATTCTGGCCAGGTAAAGTATAAATTTACAAGGTTATGTATTTCAAGAATATTTGATGGGACAGTTCCAACACATGGTCCGGATAACCTGTTCCAATCGTTTCATTTTAAGACGGGTAAGCTGAGGTTAACGTTAAGTACAGAACTGTTGTCTCGGTTGCTGAGTGCCTGTGGTGCGCAAAGCCATGGCGTCAGCGCGTGAAAGTGTTGGGTAAAGATAATGCGTGGGTACAGGTCGATGGGGAATATGATAGGTCTATGCCGGCTTCGACACCTGTGATTTCCCTGACAAACATGCATACTACAGTATCCATGACGACCAATTAACAATTATAGGTTATCTGCGAGGTAAACATCCTACTTCAGTATGCGTACCGGTACTTGAATCGTGATGTTTGTAGGGAGGCGCCATGAGTTTTGTACACTGGATACCAATTGATAAAGCTCGGGTGGGAATTCTTGTCCTTTCGGGGTACCTTCCCAACCAAGAGGTATCATCTTGCATTGTTGTCGTCGATCCCTGAGCAATTCCTGGTATTTCAAGTCGAATGTCCGGATAATTCGACACGGTTTGCGTGTGTAACGTATCGAGTTCACGCTGTATAATCTATTGGAGGCTTTCTAGTGAAACAATACTGCGATGTGATTGGCTTACAGGGAGTGATCATAAATTGGTACAGTGATCATAAATTGGTCATAATACAGAATTCGTAAGGTGAAACAGTAGGTTTTAGTAGGCTCGCAAGGTGAGCTGCCTTACGAATTCCATAAATCGATCTGAAATAGTTCAAATTTTATTGAATGAAGCTTCATCTTTGTATGGAATAATTTAAATTCCTCTAAACGCATCTTTTTGATGAATTCGTAAGGCAGGCTGCCTTACCAAATTTCTGTCCAATTATATGATAGAAAGGTGAAAATAACTGGCCAATAATAGGATCGTTCTATTCTCTTTGCTACATTGCTAGCTGTAGCTTGTGAGCTACAGTACTACCGGTAGAATGCGATCCCTTGCTCCTATCCGCACGCTTGAGCCTGGGCGATGGTCATGCAGTATGACTTGGTCCTCGTCTTGTCGCAGCATAGGTAGTGGTTGTTCTTGGCGTAGTGGGCGCTCTGGTGGAAGTGCTGGGCTCGGGTGCCGTCGCACATGCCCCCGACCTTGGTCGACTTATTAGTTTTGCATCTTGGCATAAACCACGTAATCACATGGGCCAAGCTCGTCAACTACTGGTACTGTAAATAGGTCGTTTACAGCAATTTACTCGTTGATCCTGAAACCCCGAAACGTCGCGGGCAAACGACTTGATTTGGTCAAATTTTTGGTGACTATGCCCCGATGATATGATTCTTACTGACGGTAGTTTTACCCATCACTTCCTCATTTTGACTTGGAAGGACCTTGGGTGTTGGCCCCAGTCCACCGAAAC